ACCTTGAGCAAGTCTACTCATTTCTCTGTTTCTAAAGAAACAGACTAAAGCCTTAGAGGGTGATGAAAAGATTTGAAATAAGACTGGCACAACATCTTTCACCACCTTTTAATGCACAATATATTTTTACTAAATGGGAACAATTATAGTATCTGAGTATTTCTGACAGCTTCAAAGAGGTGACAAATATGAAAAACATTGATAAGGGCAAGAGACAGTCTAGGATGTCTAGACATGAAATATTCTAGAGAAGTGAGTTGTGTTTGTCTTAGTTCCAACTTGAGTTTTTTCTAGCACCTGGGTATTTAAAGGACTCTCATGAATCCTATGAAGATTTCGTTGATTCTTTCCCTGTACTTTTCTCTTTGATTCCAATAGCATAGCAAGTATATAGTTTCTTAGAGAGCTCCAAAGGCCCTCTCCCCCGCATGAGTTCTCATGGCTACTAGAAATTTCTTTTTATTTTTCTACCCTCCCCCACCCACCCACCACATTAGTTCTTTTATTTCCTCAGACAATTATTGTATTTATGAAGGTTTGCCTATGTTCATTCTACTCTTACTTCTAAAGAATAGCACTTTGGTGGAACCATTTGTCTTTGTAAGGTATTTTGTTGGGTATCTTTCTTCCTGGCTGGCTCTGATTTCCAATTTTTATCTTCTCCATTTGTAAGGAAGTTCAAACTCTTCTAAGTTTCTCAGATTCTTAACTGTCACTTTCTGTTTACTTTCTCAATGCTTTGGCCCCACAGATTTTATAAATTAGCAGTGCCTCAAAGGAGAAAATGCCACTGCATGTCAAGCTCAAGAATCACCTCATGACGCTCTTTGTTTCCTGTTTCTTCTTTTCTTCTTCTTTGTTTCTTGTTTTTCTTCAACAACGTTGCATCCTCTTTGATATCCTCAATTTTATAGGATAGAGGGAAAGAATTTTATTCAGCTTTTCTGGTAGCTTCCTGTGGCCAGTTTTATCCATCCAAATCTATTTAGCAATTCCTCGCCTGCTTAAAAAAAGAGTAATATTTTTCATTTTACTTTAAAAAATGTTTATTAGCTGATTCGTAAAAATAGAAGGACCTGGACATAATGTAATTGCTGATGAGCAATGTACATTTTTAAAATAACATCCCATTAGAAGGTCTGAAAAGGTTCTCACTGAGTAGTTGTACTTTTTTAAATCAACAGGGAATTCGAAGGATGAAAGAAAACTTGACCTTTAAACCTGTCTTCATATTCTCTCCTCCAATGAGATTACAATTCGGCTTGACTAAATTGTTTTCCCAAACTTGAGGCCATCATTGAAGTTCCTAGTTCAAAACTAATGATCATAGAGCATTGTATGTTTATTATACTTATATATGTGTATTACACCTTTCCTTTGAAAATCTCTTTTTAATATTTCCAGTTTCAAACATATAAAGTAAAAAATAAATGGTGTTTCAAATTCTCATATACTTATTACCTCTCATTTCAATAATTGCCAACATTTTGTAATATTACTTCACCAATATTTTCTGTTATTATTCAGAGGTGAAGTTTGTGTGTGTGTCTCTGTGAATTACACATGCCTAACCTGTGCTTTACCACCAAGCTATTGACAGCTGGGGGCTGACACACTATTTGGCCTTATTCGTGGTATTAAAAAAAAACTTTCGGGCTGGGAAGTTGGCTCAGTGGTAGAGCGCTTGCCTTGCATGCCTGAGGCCCTGGGTTCGATTCCTCAGCACCACATAAGCAAAAAGAAAAATGCCAGAAGTGGCGCTGTGGCTCAAGTAGTAGAGTGCTAACCTTGAGCTGAAGAGCTGAGGGACAGCACTCAGGCCCAGAGTTCAGGCCCCACGACTGGACCCAAAAAAAAAATAAATAAATAAAAAATAAATAAAAAAAACCTTTCTAGTCCTCATGTTATTTCTTCCATGAATTAACAATTTCCTAACTAGATGATGTTATGAGATTCCCCAGTACTGAAGAATATAAGAGGGTTGTGGGATGAAAGCTCAAATAACTTTCTTATTGTACTAATAAAAAATAAAATCAATGCTTGCAAAGTATTGTCATTTAGTAGATAAAATTCATAGAATATCGGTGATATTTTACATAATTGCTCTTTTTCTGCAATATATAGATAGGTTTTATGCACTTTTTGGTTGGTCTTCTTTGCTACTATAATAAAATGAAGAACAAAACATTTATTAATTGTACAATCATACAATATAAATATATAAATCTATGTATAGAACAGTTAGTTAAACTACTTTTACCTTCTAATTAATTTTCTTCCAAAACAACTTACTTTGAAGTTTATGCCTGAGTTAACTTTTGTAGATATGTTCAGCTATACCACCAGTTCAGATGTCCTTGGAACGTTTTTTTTCTCCACCATATATTGACAATGAGGTCATTTCACATTTGCTTCTTTTGTGAAAAACACAGCTGGCTCTGTTTGGTCAGTAGCACTTTCATTGCTGCATTTCCTGAGTCACCAGAATATTTCAATTGACCCCTTCAGAACAGATTGTATCTATGTAATATTCTTCCACAATAAAACATCTATAATCAAACGACTACAATAGCCATTGAATGGTACTCCCTATTCTTGGCCAGAATCGTTTCATTTCATATCCTTTCAATTACTCTATTATCTCATCGAAACTAGATTTTTCTCAAATCAGGCCTATGTGATACTTGATTTTTGTCCTCTCACCAGTTCTTCCTGGAGCTTTGCATCGTTGGTGAACCGCAGTATTCTGAATTGCAGAATTCATTTTGTGATTTCGGTACAGATCATACTAAGTCACAAATTACTTGATTTGTACAGGGTTTTGTGGCAGATGTATTTGGCTTTATTAAAATATCTGTAGGTTTTATACATACACATTCTATTCAATAACTAACTGTACATTTAAGAATATGATGGACATAGGTGAGCATAAAACATTATTTTAAGACTACAAAATAATTTCTTTATAGACAAAGAACTTTGACGTATGATATGATATTCACGACGGTGACGAAATGGTCAAGGTGATAATGGTGAAAGTCACTTGAAGCCTCTGAGTTACAAATGCACTCATACCAAGACACATGGATTCCCTTGGACCATTAACTGCTATACAAAGCATTTAATGACTCTCCAAAGTGGGGCAGAGAATTCTTGGTGAACTCACATGGCTCCGAGAGACAGCATTAGAAAGTCAATATGCTTACAAAATTTTTTATAACTAATAAGGAAGTTAAGTAAAACCAAAGTCCATTTTACAACTGATGGTGTCTTGGACTTCAAGAAAAGTGATTAACACTGAAATCTTCTGATTTGATATGTGTTTTGCTGAGTCCTAATTCTTTCTCACCCATAATGCTTTTTCTTCCTTCCAGAAATACTTTTTTTTGTGGAGGGACTAGCACTAGACCTTACTGAGGGATCTTCTTTCCATGTCATCTTTAACATTTGAGGTTAGCACTATCAGCCTCAGGGGGTTCAACTAATGTGTCTAGAATGCAACTGATGTTGAGCATGGAGAAAAGTTAGTGCATAAGAAACTGGATTTTAGAAAGTTGTTCTTTCGAAATGATCAAGTGCATCTTGTTGGACCTTTAGTGTGGTGTCTGGTGAACTTTCTTACCTTGGTTACCTACATAGGACCTTTCATTTTCAGGGCTCAGTGGCATCATCATCTTTGTTTTGACAAGTACCCATTTTTAGGGTGGACTAAGCTATGTACAAAAGGTGTGTGGACAAAAGGGAACAAAAAGGGAGCATTTGTCTCATTAGGTTGTAAAGTTTGGGCTGCTTTATGACTTACCAGAGAGCAATAAATATGGTTCTATTCTGGGGATTTTATTCACATCTCATTTACTAATTTGGCAAAATCCAACATTAACCCTGAAAGGCTAATTTGATTAAAGAGCTGGTAGACATTACTTCTCTCTGACTAATCAAGTTAATTTTAATGGAAGTAATCATGTCTTTCTGGCAGGTTACTGTGAAAATCAAATAAGTTACCTAGCATATTCTTTGTATTTTATAAATCATAGTGTTTAAACAAAAATAGTAATTGTCTCTTCATTCCATTATTAAAGCCTTCAGATTCTCTATTTTCTTTCCTACCTCTCCCTAGGAAGTCTTAGTATGTTCATTTAGTGGGATAACGAATTTTGGTGCTAGATCTCTTTCTCAGAATTCGATGGTCAGAGAGGAGTGAGACAATTGACTTCTCTCATCTCCATTTTCACATGTGCATTCAGTGTCAACACTTAATTTATAACAAGAGTGGACTGACTTCTCTATCCTAGGAAAAGTAAGATATCCTGTGAAGCTGTCCACCTTTTTTGTCTTGGGGTGACCAAGCAGGAGATGCCTGTTAATAAGCAGGCAACATGGATGCTGGGTAGACGAGCAGGAAACATTTCAAAATATATCAAACCTCAACATACGACTGGGAAAATAAATAACGGATAGGTATCATAAAAGAAACTGTTAGAGAAAGGCAAAACATATTACCATGTTAGGGGTTCATAATCAACATTTTTTTTTTGGTTGGTCGTGGGGCTTGAACTCTGGGCTTGGGCGCTGTCCCTCAGCTCTTCAGCTCAAGGCTAGCACTCTACCACTTGAGCCACAGCACCACCTCCAGTTTTCTAGTGGTTTATTGGAGATAGTCTCATGGACTTTCTTGCTCAGGCTGGCTTTGAATCGTGATCCTCAGATCTCAGCCTCCTAAGTAACTAGGATTACAGGCGTGAGCCACCAGTACACAGCTATCATCAACTTTTATAGATATATTTAGCCCTGACAAGAGAGCTTCATTTATTTCAGACTGGAAATATCTTTTCTTCGATACACACACACACACACACACACACACACACACCACACTCAGGCAACAACTTGATGAGAAGTGATATTCTGACATTATTTTTGGCTCTTCTAACAATGTCTGTTATATTATTCTCAGGTTTAGCCACATCATTTGTAGATGAGAAAAAGGACAAACACATGGATCTCTATCAGATGGAATCTTTATTGAATTTCTTAACATCATGTAAATCTTTGACAAAGAATATCGTCTTTTACTTAGGTTTTGCCGATGTTTAGATCATCTTTATCTAACATTAAAGTAGCAGACTGGAATGATAAGCAAGTATTTTGAGTACATAATAACTACGAATAATACAATTTTATTCCAAATCACAATTCCAATATAGACATATATTACTCTCATGGACCTTGGACAGTCTCTGAAGGGTTCTCGTCACCAACAGTATACTTTCAACATTGCAGCTAGCCTCAAGTGTTCTTTATGTGGAGTGTGTGACTCAGAAAAAGCCCAACTTATTCTTTCAATATTGTATTTGAATGGCAGGGAGTATTAATGACAACCTCACTTAAAAACAGAAGTTCCTATAATGAGTGCCAGAAGAATGATATATTGCTCTGTACTATGCTTACCCATGTACAGAAGCCAGCTGTTCAGTCTAGCTTTGAGGTACCTAAGCTTGTTCCTATGAGATACCCAGGATATTCTTGAAACAATTCCTCTCAGGCAAATGTTTGGTACTGAAGAAACCTCTAAGGATAAGCAGTAATTGTAACTCTTATATACCATGTTTACTACATGCTCACTAACTCTCCAAACCTGGAATATGTCCACCATTATTTCCCCTATCTGCATAGGCTGAAGTAATATTAGTTTGTTATGTATTAGATGAAGACTAAATGGAAGACTTTCTGTAGAAAGCTATTCAATATCTAGAATCTTTTCTGCAAAGAAATGAGAGCCTAAAAAGTATCTTTTTTTTTTTTTAACATTCTACTGTCATGATTAGGATTCATGGTAAATTGCCTACAATTGTTGGCATCAGGAGAAACAATGTACAGGTAGTTCAATAACCCCTAGGATCCTTTTGCATACAGAGGAATATTGTTCTGTTTTTAAATGGAAAAACTATACAAGTGGGTTAGTATTTTCTAGCCCTCTTCCTGGAGTTAGTCTCAGCTTGGGCAAAGCATAGAAAGATGGCTGGTTGTCTATAAAGGCAATTTTTTGGTAAGCTATCAGCATGAATGTATGCTATAACTTTTGGTCTCTTTCACAAACTATTTCTTCTCTCTTCCTAAAGATATTTCTTTTTCCCTTTTTTTTTGGGGGGGGGCGGTTACCTATTTAGCTACAAGAAGCACAGAAGGAGGCAGGATGCATTAGAAAGGAAAACTATAACTACATAATCAAGGACCCCTCCATCAAAGTCAGAAGAGGGTGAAGGAAAAACAAACATTATAGGAGAACTTCTAATTACAAATTCACAGAAACATTAGTTTTCTTTTAGAACTACTAAAGTCAATAGTTTAGACACAAGGAAAAGCACATGAATGAAACTTCTTGGGGCTCATTTTGGAGAATTCTGTACATAATTTATCATGCTGTAAGAGAATTCGAAGATACATCCCATGCAAGCACCATTGGGAAAGACAACCTTCTCGGCACTTATGAATCAAGTAAGGTAACTATAAAAAACATTTGCCTTTTTGTTTTCCATTAAAACGGCATAGCACAATTGAGAGAACAAAGTCTATATGGATACATAAATCCTGAAACACTAGAAAAAAGAAAACTAGTCCAAAAATTCTTGTTAATATACAAATTGTGATTACTGCTGACACTTCAATTAAATCCCATGCATTTCAAACAGCAGCCTACGACAAATGTCTACTTCACATTTCAAGTTTTAATCTGCTGCATCGGCATGAGTTTGGGTGAGACCTGAAAAAAAAAAGTGAAAAACAATCAAATTGTGAAAACAAACAAAAACACAGGGTATACACATCCCTTGCTTGAATTCCCACACTTTTTGTTTTGTGTTTTGGTTTTGCAAGGGGTGGGGTGAATACACAGTCTAACATTTGTTAGATAGGTACTGTGTCCCCGGGCCATGCCCCATACTTTTTGTGCTTTAGTTTGCAGATAGGTTCTCTTGCTTTTGTCATGAGCTAGCTCATAATCCTCCTACTTATGCCCACTGCATCAATGAGGTAATGGACATGCTCCACAATGCCCAGCTTATTTGTTTAGATGAAGATCTCATTACCTTTTTGCCTGGCTGATCTCTCACAGTGACCTTCATCTCTGCTTTCTGAGCAGCTGGATTACAGGCATGTGTGAAGGTCCCAACTCATGATACAGATAGTAAGCAGCCTTTTCAGTGACATCATCTGAAGCTTCAATTGTATTTCGTGTTTTGAAATACCAGAACCAGAAAGTTAATGTTCTGTTTGCATTTGGGATATTAATTGGCTCTTGACCTTCTTGTAATGTAGCTCCTAAAGGAAGGATGACTTAGTTTGACAACAAAGAGCGAAAAGGAACAGAGAGAGCCTGATACCTAAGGATGGGTCACCAGTGGCCATGACTGATTCTTCTTCTAACTTCACTCAGCACATGCTGTGAAGCACCACCCAGTCCAAGTCCTCAAGACAGATAAAGCTTATTTGTAGTCTGTTCATTAAGATGCGTGTATATTAATGATGCATTAATATGCACATATATTAATATGCACATAATTAATGAACAGATCTATGATCAATAATAAACTTTATCAGAAATGTCATAGTTAGAAAAGACACACAGTAAGAAGATTTCAAGTTATTACAAAAAGATGGTATTAAAACGATGCAATGCTGGTTACCACTATGTTCAGCATATACAACAATAATTGCCTTCCTAAAAGTTTTGAAGCAGAGAAAATTAAAAATGAGTCTACACGTCCAGTTCCCTAAGTCTAATCAATCTGACTTAATGTGACAGACCATTCAAAGTAGGGGACCAGCTTCAGACCTTCTTAATCCTTTTAAGGTAAATAGTCATTGGATCCTAGAAATAATTATTGGAAAGAAAATCAAGGAAGTTACAGTTTAGGTGATTGAATTCCTCACAATTGGAGCACTGTAAGTGGGGAAAATTACCATTTTGCCTTCCAGGATAAAAAATCAGTATTTTGTAAATTTTTAATAAATGAACAAATAAATGAATGCATGATTGCCCAGACTTCAAAGAGCTAGAAGAAAGGCTCCTAAAAAAAGATTGTCACTATTAAAAACTGTAAAAGAAAGCAATGACTAGCTTTGATAAGCTAAAATATTTTCAGTTTATTTATAAATAACTATTGATTCTTCATAATTGTCAAGGGTTGATGTCTTCTCTTTTACTTTTCTACCAAAATGATTTAAACTAAAATATATGAACCAAAAATTTCCAGGAAAAGAATGGTGAAAGGCTGGGTATAGTAGCTGCTACCTGTAATCCCAGCTACTTGGGTTTGTTTGGACAGGGTGTTGGTGAGAGTGGAGGATAATGAGAAATAGCTGCTCAGCAGATAGTTTTCATTACAAAAGAGACAAGCCAGTCAGTTTCATAAAACTTCACCTTCTTCTTTTCTACTAAAAGTCATTATTAATATTAGGCACTCAGAATAAGGTTGAAACAAAAAGGAAAGGTATCTTTTTTTCTAAAAAAAAAAAAAATAAGCTGACCTGTTTTCCTTTAAGGGAAATGCTATGAAGTATCTATCAGAAATTATCTTTAAAAAAAAAAGAATTTTAGGGGCTGGGAAGGTGGCTCAGTGGTAGAGTGCTTGCCGTGCAGCATGAGGCCCTGGGTTCGATTCCTCAGCACCACATAAGCAAAAAGAAAAAAGCCTGAAGTGGCGCTGTGGCTCAAGTGGTAGAGCGCTAGCCTTGAGCTGAAGAGCTGAGGGACAGCACCGAGGCCCAGAATTCAGGCTCCACAACCGACAAAAAAAAAAGAATTTTATTTCATATATTTCCACAGGAAAGTGAAATCTAAGGATCGTGGTTTAATGGCAACCTGGTCATTAAATTCCAAACAATGTTGGAAGTATATTTGTGGCTAGTAGAGCATTAGCCTTGTACACAAAAGCAGTGGCCAGGCTCCGAATTCAAGACTCAAGACTGGCACACACACACAGGCAATGACCTAAATAACCATTAAATAAGACACACAAACCTTAACAAGTTGCATACTCAATATCAATAATCATCAAAGAAATTCATCTCAAAACCACAATGAGATAATTACTTCATGACAGTTTGGCTCTTATCAGAAAAATAAGATGTCACCTCAAGAGTAATATAAACAAAACGTAACCAGTGTTTAGAAGATTATATAGAAAAGAGAGGCCTGGAAGGTGTATAAATTAGTACAACCATTATAGAAATCAGAATAAAGTTTTCTCAAAAAATTAAAAATAAGTACCAAGCTGTTTTGATTACTATGGCTTTGTAGAAGAGTTTGAAATTTGGTATTGATATTCCTCCAGCACTGTTCTTTCTGTTAAGGATTGTTTTTGCTATTAGGGGTCTTTTATTGTTCCATATGAATTTTTGGATTGCCTCTTCTATTTCCTTGAAGAATGAGGTTGGAATATTGATAGGTATCGCATTGAATTTGTAGATAACCTTGGGAAGTATTGCCATTTTCACTCCAGGAGCATGGGAGGTTTTGACACTTTCTAAGTTCTGTTTTGATTTCCTTTTTCAGGCTTTTAAAGTTTTCATCACAGAGGTCCTTCACTTCTTTGGTTAAATTAATTCCTAGGTATTTTATTTTTTGTGGGGCTATTATGAATGGAGTTGTGGTATATATACACAATGGAATTCTTTGCCTCCATCAGAAAGAATGACATTGCCTCATTTGTTAGGAAATGGAAAGACTTGGAAAAAATTACATTAAATGAAGTAAGCTAGGCCCAAAGAAACATAGGTCCCATGGTTTCCCTTATTTGCAATAACTAGTATATGTCTGAGACAAGTAGAAAAAGTCAGATAAGTTGATGTTAGGTGAAATGAACCCTAAGATAAAGATTCAAATGTTTTTTCTTTCATGCAATTGTTTCTAACATATTTAAAAGATGATTTCTTTGTTGCTTTGTATGTCCCTCCCCCACGGTATAACCCCTGCTTTCATTGTATTTGATGTCGGTATAATTTGTGGAGGGGAAGGGCAAAACAAATCATTTAAATAGAGATACAGGTGGACCCATTGCAACAATGAGATGTACAAGTCGTTATGTCAAAAATGAACTTTACAACTTTGGCGGCTGTGGGGGGGTGGAGTGGGAGGGAGATGGGAAGGGATGGGAAGGGGAAACAAAGGAGGAGGCAACAATGCTTGATAAGAAATGTACTCATTAACTTGCCCAGGTAATTGTAACCCCTCTGTACGGTATTTTCACAATGAAAAATTTTAAAAAGATACCTGTGTTCTCATGGTCAGCACTGTTTATAACTGCCAGGAAATAGGAATAACCTAAGTGACCACCAGCTGATCACCATCAGAATCTACAAATACTGCCATTTGTACCAAACATGAGCATGCAGGAGATATTATGTTAAGTGAAATAAGGCAGGCAGAGAAACACAAATCCCAAATGATCCCACTCATGTGTGGAATAGACAATCTCCTAGATGCTGAGAGTAGACCTGGAGGCTTGAGAGGGGGGTGGGGCAGGGGTAAAGGAAACTTGGTCAAAGGGTAGGATGTGTAGTTACATAGGAGTTAGAAGTGCTGGCCTGTGCTACAGAGCAAGATGGCGAGAGCTAACAATCATATACTCTGAATTTCAAAGCACCTAGAGAAAAGGATTTGGAATGCTTCTATCATAAAGAAAAAATAAATGTTTACTCTAATTTGAACATTAGACATACTATATTGAAACACCATATGAGGGGCTGGGAAGATGGCTCAGTGGTAGAACACTTGCCTTGCATGCTCAAGACCCTGGGTTCAATTCCTTAGCACCACATAAGAAAAAAGCCGGAAGTGGCGATGTGGCTCAAGTAGTAAAGTGCTAGCCTTGAGCTGAAGAGCTGAGGGACAGTGCCCAGGCCCAGAGTTCAGGCCCCACGACCGGACTCCCCCCCCAAAAAAAAGAAACACCATATGATAACCCATAAATATAGGTGCCTTTATGTAGCACTTAAATAATAATAATCATAATTTTTAAAGCCCATGATACAGGAGTGCAAGAGAGGCCATAAGAAATAATTTACAGGGCTGGGAAGGTGGCTCAGTGGTAGAGTGCTTGCCTTGCATGCATGAGGCCCTGGGTTCGATTCCCTAGCACCACATAAGCAAAAAGAAAAAAAGCCGGAAGTGGCACTGTGGCTCAAGAGGTAGAGTGCTAGCCTTGAGCTGAAGAGCTGAGGGATAGCCTCCAGGCCCAGAGTTCAGGCCCCATGACCAGACCCCCCCCAAAAAAAACAAAAAAAACAAACAAAAAAAGAAATAATTTACAATGTACAAAGACATGCAACTAACAGAGTATTTTTACAAAAAAAAATCTTTTTTCACTTCTGACTTACATGAATAAAAACAGAACTAGATAACTATGATCTTTTGTTGTATTTTGTTTTTGCATCAGAAAATTGAAAAAAATAACAACGGATTCAGAATGGTTTGCTTTTATCACTGTAGTAAGCAATCTTCAATAAAGTATAAACAAATCTCTTGCCTTCCTCCCCCTGAGGTTACTAGAAAGCTAATTAAAGATGTGCTTTTCAAGGAAAGTATTATTGGGAGATTTTCTTTTTCCAAAGTGAAATTCAGAAAAGGTTAATAGACAAAGACCTTGGTATCGTAGCAGGAACAGTTATTATGTGGATAATGAATTATGCAATGAAGTTGTTTTAAAGAAATGTGTTTTTTCCCTTCCCCCCCATGTAATTGTTTCCCCTCTGTACAGTACTTTCACAATTTAAAAAAAGAAATTTGTTATATACTGATAGGTGTGAGTGAAGTACAGAGTTCACAGAAAGTTATATATGGAAACTATATACATAAAATTGAATAGTTTTTGTTAGGTTGATGTACAGTTGTAACAATATATTTTCCTCTTATTATAACTGTATGGCATTGCAATTATAGTAGGTGGATTCTTGGAAAAGTTATCCGACAATCTAATGTCTTTTCTTTGTGTTTCAAAGGAGTTATCACCTTTCCTTTATATAACTCCTTTATATAACTTCAAAGGCATGGAGTGGCTCGGTCAGTTCTCAAGAGGCGGGTGTTTGTTGATTTATGAACAGCACTTGTAGTAAAGGGGAAATGTTTATATAATGGTATTGTTTGTTTTTAAAAGGGAATTCAGGAGTTTCTTTCTTTTTTTTTTTGTCAGTAATGGGGCCTGAACTCTGGGCCTGGGCACTGTCCCTCGGGTCTTCAGATCAAGGCTAGCGCTCTACCACTTGAGCCACAGTGCCACTTCTGGCTTTTTCTGCTTATGGGGTGCTGAGGATTGAACCTAGGGCCTTATGCATGCAAGGCAAGCATTCTATCACTGAGCCACCTTCCCAGCCTTCAGGAGTTTTTTAAATGAGTATTTTCTTACATATACACCTGCTTTCTTTCTCAGTGTTTTATGCATATGATTACTCCAAAGTCAGGACAGATGTATTCTGATTGTAATCTGGCAGTGTCAGAGACCTATCTTTTTAATATCACCAATGGTTAGAACAATAGGCATAGATATGAATAAACAGAAAATCATAAGTCACAGATTGGTTTAAGAACAGGAAGTGTCATTTCTCCCTGTATGGTTCAGATTTTTGAACCATAATCAACTGTAATCACAGCTCATATATCCTAAACAGCAGCAGAGTTGCAGGGACTTTGCAGAGAGTGGCTCAAGAGTTCAAGCTCACCTTTGGCACTAACAGTTCCTAGTGGCTCTTTCCACTCTACTTTCTTACTCCTGAGCCAAGCCCTGGACCAATTCTGCCAGAATTCTCTTCCCTGCGTTCATTTGCTGTGCCTTTTCCTTCCTCTCCTGTTCACTCATTGTAGAGATCAGCCCCCCAAATGGTCACAAACGATTGACTCCTGTCCTGTAAATACCCACTGCTCAAGCTGAGGACAGCACACCTGGCTGGATTTGGGCACAGATACTTACTGCAAAATCACACCCAGTGGTCTTCTTTATGTCATCCACTGTCAGGCCTTCCCAGAGCTCAATCAGAGTCAGCCCCTTCTTCTTGTCCACGTCAAACACAGCCTGTTGGAAGTCAAGAAAATGACAATGACAGTTTCCACACAATAATTACTTTACAAATAACCTCCTGAGTTCTTAAAAGAGAAACAAGATCCAGGACAAAAGACTTCTGAAAAGTCAGCAATGAAAAAAAAAAAAAGGTCAACTATTGTAAATGTAGCTATTAGAAGTACAAACTCTCTAATCAGCAAGTAGTTTTGGACAGTGTTAGTGCCAGGAAAATAAGTAATGCACTGTTGACTATTATGGCATTTGTTCCTATTGTAACCAGTTAAAAAAAAAACTACCTTCCTTCTCTTCAGGCTAACACCAGTGAATAGACAAGGAAGTAGTTAATGGTGATTTGAAGGATGGAAGGAATGAATAAAGAAATGAAGAGAGGCAGAGGAGATTTGGAAAGAGAAAAATATAGGAAGGATGAAAATATTTGTAAATAATGCTGGATAAAATTACAAGAAATTTTAAAAAGGCCTATGAGTTATTACTATAAAAGAAGCTATCTAGATTCTGAAAGACCTCTAGTTGCATCTCATAAGAAACTACTATCCAAAACTGTGATACAGAACAGATATAAGAGCAAACACATTCCCTAAACCAGTCCTAATACAGTATAGGCATGTCCTTACTTCTTTGTGGCCTAACCTGTGTGTACATCCAGATCAAAGCCATGAAATAATTATTGTCTCCCTTTGGGCTGACAATTTTTTTCCCTAAAAACGAAACATTACTGGGTCTAGAGATGTTTATTTTTCCTGCTGGTTTGATAATCTACATGATTTTAGTGGAAAAGATAGTTTAAATTTAAGAGGAAAATTTTATGTTCCTAAAAAAAAAGACATGTTTTTCCAGCAGAAATACTTTGCCCCAGAGGGGAGGAAATTGGCAATTTAGGAATATCTATCTATCTGATTAGCTTGCTTCATTCTAAAATGGAAATCATATTTAAATGGATACTTTTTGTTTGTGGAAAATGTGTCTGGAGTACTACTCAAACTGATTTGCTTTTTCTTGCACTCTAAAGATTTTTTTTGTAAATTTATGAAAATAGAACAAATAAAAGAAAAGCTATCTCTATATTATGTTACTAAGAACAGACTCACAGACTGCCTAGGATTTAGGGAGACAATAACTTTGGTATCCTGTATACACGGCGTCAGTACTCAGAAGAATAAAATGTAAAGCAGTCTGACTTATTAATTTAAAAAATATTAACATCTTTATCAAAGTCTAGTTAGTTTCTAAGATAAGAAAAATAAGAAGCTAACCATGTGTTTTTAAACGAGAGAAACATTTTTAGCAATACTTCTATTTAATGGTATAATGCATAAACAAATTCTGATGAAAACAAGACAAAGTACAGCAGCTATAGTACACTGTTCAACAATCAGGACCAATATCAGAATGACTGTGTCTTACAGATAATGTGACTTCATCCATAAAGGCTGCTTTATGGCCAGGCAGTTAACCACAACCCAGGTGCTGACAAGAAAGACATTTTTCCCAACCTCATTCTAGCAGCAGGAAACAATCAGGCACAGCATTTCCAAAGTCTCTTTCAAAGGGCATCAACCTAAAAATAGCACTCATTCTAGGAGTAGATAATGGAATTCTAGTCGCTTACCTGAACGGGCAGGGCACACTCACTGCACTTAACAGTGATGCATTTTCACTCCTTCAACAAGTTAGCTATGAGCACCTGCTATACATGATTTATGAGCAACACTCTTTCCTTGCGCTACCAACGTTTCAGATTAGCCATGCTCTATCATGTGATCTCTAGTTCAGGCTCCAATTATCCCTTTGGACTGATGATTCCCCTCAAGTTTATTTTAATACTGCCTCCAAGAGCCAAATCACCAACTGGATTTTTTAAGTTTCTGACTGACCGTTCTCAGAAATATCAAATTGAGAATGCTCAGGTTCACTCTTTTCTTTTCTTTCAGTGATACTTCCCTTTCTCTTCCAGGTAAATCAGCATTTCTAGCTAGAAATTTCAGGAATCTAGAGTCCATCTCACAAAGCTCTTTAAAATCTCATTGTATCCTGTGGTTGAGGTCATGACATTTCTGTTCTGTAGTCTGTGATCCTAACTTTGCATCCAATATGTGTTTCCATCATGGCCTCTGTAGTGTTTATTACTCTAACTGCTGTGGATGCTGAATGCATGTCATCTAACGGTCATGAATGTGTCTTTTTTAGGATAGAGACGTTACCCTTCTTTTTGTACACCACTGTTGGAAACAGTCTGGTTCAAAGAAATGAGCAAATGAATAAAACAATAATGTTGATTGATAGGAATGGCATACAAGATTTTTTATAATGGCAGCGTAAGTTTTGTCATAAAAAATGCAAGTGCTGGATGGTAATGAGCAAAGCAAATGGCGAGCCCCTTTGAGAATGAAATCTTTGCATACAAAGGTGGTGTAAGACTTCTTTGTGATGAAGATGGAAATTGTATTAGGCTGAAAGATTGCGTGAGATTTGAGGAGGCAGTGAGTGGAGTGCCAGGTTCTTAGGGAAAAGTAAGGACATATGGTGTACATACGGATGGGACAGAGAAGAGATAGGGAGATAAGAGTGAGGGAAGACCCATGTAATTGTAACTCCTCTGTGCGGTACTTTCATAAAAAAAAAAAAACCTAGCTCAGTAGAACACCTGATTAGCAAGCATAGGCTTCTGAATTCAAATACCAGTAGTGCCCCAAATAAAAACAAACAAACAACCAAAAAAGTAAGGGAAGAATGTTGCTAGAATCATCTCCAATAGAACTACTATTTTATTAAGAAAACAAGTGCAAGTTCTGCTCTTCCTTCTTTCCCAAAGCATTACATCCTTCCAGGAAGCTCTGTTCAGAGTTGGAGAGATTTAAAGAATGGCTAAGAATAAATGAGAATAAAGGGTGAGGTAAAATATCATTCATGTGTTCTTCTCTGTAAGTTACTTTTATGAGATTTTACATAAACCCTCCTAAAGTATGGCTTCTGGAAAGTATCATGAACCTAGCTCACTTTATAGTCCTGTCCAGTGGGCTACTTCCTACCACACAGAGCGCTAATGAACTCGATCAATACAACATGCTACTATTATAGCACTTGGCAATAGGAGAAATATCACTGAGATAAAGGAGGGGGGAAACTAGCACTAATTCTGCTTCTTCCCAGCCAACTGAGGAGAACGATGACATCTTAACATCCTAAGGTGACATCTAGGATAGAAAGGTGACCGTACATGGCGGTGTCCATGCTTCTCTGATCTGAGCAGCCTTTGGCGTAGAACCACTGATCAACACTGACCTATTTCATGAAAGGGCACAAAGCTTTGGAGAAATAGAATACGTATCTGGGTTTATTGTGGTGTCTACTGAAAATGGTTAAAGCTCAATTTTGAACTGAGTTTCCTAAAATGTAAACTCAAAAAAGTTACACTGCAGTTTGGGGCAATGAAAAAACTACAGGGGAAATAATAGCTTGACATGTTAATAAGCAAAAATATAAAGATCAATACAGGTCTACTTTGTTAAAAGAAATCACACTCAAAAGGACCAAGTCAAAGGACTCAATTTTAGCATTTAGTTATTCTAATATTGATTAATTTTTCTTTGCTTTCTACCACAGACAAAATTAATCCCACATATAGTTACAGAATATATTTTCAGAAGGTAATACAGAATATATTTTTGGAAGGGAATAAGTCTAATCAATGCTTCTAAATTCAAAAAAAGGAGTAGTAGACATTAAGGAAAATAGGAAAGTGTTTTACCTTTTCTGTAATAATTCGGTCAACACATTGCTTTCCAGTCAATGGTAATGTACATTTCTCCATGATTTTATGTGCATTTCCCTGTTTTAAAGAAAGAAAACACATTCAACATAGTAGTTTAGGAAACAGTGAAAATGATCTAGATGCATTATATACAAAAATAGGGTAATTGAAACATCTTGTACATTTACTTGAAGATAATTTAAAAAAATAATGGTCAAGGAATAATTCTCATTTGGAATTGGTGTAACTGTAGGAAAATAGGAACTATCAGAAACTGTGTTCCAAACACAGGCTATGTCCAAGTCTCTGCACTGCCAAGCTCTTACTTGCTTTCTGGAGGCAGCTTTAGACCCCCAAATATTCATAATGATTTATTTGGAACCCAGTGCCACAAATTTGACCTTTCAGATTTGTCTTTATATCATTTGATGCAAAGTTTCACTTAAATATCCTGATGATTTTTGCCTTCTAGGAAATTACATTCTCCTTACAAACACCAACAGTGACATGTCCAGGGACAGGAGGCTTACATGGAACCTGAATGTGTAAATTCCCTTTTACAAACATTTCATTTTCCTTGTTTAAAAAGTAATAGATCACATGCATAGCATTAGTACCTTGCCATTCTTCTCAACACATTTCAATGTTTTTCTTATACCCACATTTAAAAAGTATGTTTACCATGCTATTTACCTTTTTGACATCAATTTCTAGGCATCTACTGATATGTTATTGCAGAAGATGAAGACTTAGTTCTTTTTATAAACCCCACTTCCATCTTCATAGTCCCCATCATCATCTTTAATTCTCCAATATAAGCATGTCACAGTTTGCAGTTAAGTCCCTAGTCACACTTTTTATCTTGCTGATGTAGTGACTGTGAAAAACTGGTCACTGCTAGGCAGATAATGTAGTATATTATCGTTATATTCACTTTCTCAAACAGCTAGTGGTTCTTGCAGGAATTTGGATTTCTGTTTGCTCATTATGAAGATGTATGAACTGGCCTCAATGCCCACTTTTCAAACTTTCACTTAGCTTCAGTTTCCTTCATCAAGTATAACAATAAAAGGCAGACTATGAGTAGAAACCAGGTTTTCCTCTATTAACTCTTTCCCCAGCTCTGCTCAAGCCCAATATAGAAGCAAAGCTCAGAGGTACTTCTGTTCGGCACAGTTGAAACATTAGCTTCGATGATCTGACCTTAGATCATTTATTCTAATTGTAATTAAGCTCCTTTTTAAGTATCAAGCACCATGAGTCTAAATTAGTATTTCCCTTGAGGTTGCTGGCTAACCTGGCACATTCGGGATCTTCCTTTAAACTGGCGAAAGGCTGGTCTTACTTTCTTTGGATCTAAACACATCGCATCTGATGTCTCACCATAATTTTAGCCATCTCAGTGTTTTACCTGTTTAAATATGCGCCAGCTGGCTGAGTTCATATCTCTTCCCAGACTAATGTCAGACCAAGAAGATGATCAGAGACGATGAATTTCAGATAATTGAGTTTAATTAAGGTTTTACTCCTTATGATACTCTGTCAACACTACCACATACACTTAATTAAAAGATCTTAGCATCAAAAAAAAACAATGTAAAGCATAAAAAGTATTTAGTGGTTATTGGATAAATAAATGAATGAACAAATAAATCAGGAGGGAAAGGGGAATCTACTAGAATTCTTAAATGGATTTTCTTTAAAAAGACAAATTCTATTAGCTTAATTCACTTCAAACTAGCGCTAACTACATATGAAGTCACTGGATATTACACATCAAGCAATAAGTTATATGCTTCAGGACCTGGCTGTAGAGAAAAAAAATTACCAGGTGTAAAAAGAGAACCTAATTTTCCCTTCACTTCTGCCTACCTGTGTTCCGTTCATGATTTCAAACCTTGCACATGTCATAGAGGTAAATTGAACAGCTGAAATTAATGAATATTTGAACATGTGCAGTTGTCAGATCTTCTTAAATTTAATATAACTCATATACAGCATGTCATAGTGAATTCCAGGCCTAACTTCAAACAAAGTGAATAATCGTAGGCCTCTGAAAAACATTTTCTGCAGGGAGCTCTTACTTTGATCTCACTATTTGAGCAAGATTACATCGGGTTTGAAAGCCGTCATTTGGATTTTAATGAACCACCATCCCCATTGTAGGAGGAATCATGAATTTCATCTAACAGAGTTAACCATGCCCTACCAATAGAGATCTTTTATGGGCCATTTTCTGCATTTTCTGGGTGTACAGGGGAAAATGGAGCCCAAGGCCCCACGTGGCACTGCAACACTATCTGTGTCAGATCCATATGCTCCACTTCTTACCCAGCCACCTACCACACAGGATTATTGTCAGGCTTAAAGGAAATGTAACTGTCCAGTGACTGAGAAAGTGTTCAGTAAATGTTAGCTGGCAGTACTTATATGTAGCATTTTTATAAACTATCAGGAAATTCTTTATGAGCTTTTAAGTTCCTATATGAAGTCTGACATAGAATTACACAGAATATAGCCTAATTACAAATCCCAAGCCTCACAAAACTAATGAAAACACACTACATATTCGGAGGCAAACCTTATGGCCTGCTTAGGAAACTGACACCAAATACGTTCTTGCAGTTAGAACAATGTAGTTAGATGATTCCATTCACATTTAGCTCCAAGACATAACAGAGATCAAGAAATGAGGGGGAAATGAGATGCAGAAAGATTAAAACATGTCAGAGTTTCAATATGCAACAATAGGTTAGCTCTGAAGGCACACTATGACTAACTCCCACTTTAGCACTTTGTTCTAACCACGCTGGGCTGAGCATTACAGTGTGGCACTGCAGCTGCATATATTAGTGATTCACAAGGAACAATTGTCAAGCTTCGAACACTTAAAAATAAATCCTAATAGAGACAGGCAATAGAGTGTGGCAGCAAAGAATACCACAGAAAGAGCCCAAAGACTTAGGACTACACCATTCAGTCCTAAGTCCTATAGTTCTCAGTTGCTTCACCTCCCTTACTGGCCCATTGTGGCAATCACATGACATGTTCTGCAAGTTCAGTAAACTAGGAACTGAATCGATGTAAAAAATGTACGACTGTGGGATCTTGTTCATTTTTGTCATTCTGCTTCTTTCTTTGTTCCCTTAAGAAGAGATGTAAGGAAGGAAGAGAATAGAATGAATAGAAAGTGCAGCATTAAAAATGCTTTGAGGCAGAGGGCCAGAAGGCACCTGAGGTTCCAGCTACTTGGGAGGCTAAGACAGAAGATCAGCGTAGCTTGGGAGTCTGGGCCAATCTGGGCAACATACAAAGAGCCTGGCAGTAAAAAAAATTCTTTGAGTAGTACTCAGAGCTCCTGATTTCAATATACTACTATTTATTACTCCGTTGCAACCTTGCTGCACACCTGAATAGGTTTCTTTCATGAGCTTCCATGCTTTCTCTTTTCCCCTTTCTGTTCTCATAGGACTCATGAACAAATCCAAGTACTTCACCATTTTGTGTTTAAATGACCTGGGCCTTAGTCCTTTCTATTATTTGCTTTGTCAGGATCTTTCTTTAATTCTTTAGATGTAAAACTAAAACCCTGGACCTACATATTGAAGGAATGAACAGCCCTGCTTAAATAACAATAAAATCTCCCGCTGTCATAACAGTAAGTTTACTGGTATCATAATGAACCTATTCCAAATAAATATTGAAATTAAGACTTTTTTCTGCCAAGCACTGGGGGCTCACACCCTTAATCCTAGCTAATGCAGAAGCTGAACCGAGGATCATATTTCAAAACCAGCCCAAGTAAACAAATCCAAGAAGCTCGTATCTCCAATTAGCCAGCAAAAATCTAGAAGTTGACGTGTGACTCAAGTGGTAGAGCACTAGTCTTGCACTGAAAAGCAAAGCGAGAGGGGGAGGCCCTGAATTCAAGCCCCAGTACTGACATAAAAACAAAACCATTTTTCCTCCAGGAGAATGATTTTGCATGTGATGTTTTCATTTCATTCACTTGAAGTGTCAAAAGTGTTTGTATGAAATTTTTGCTTTAAACCAAACCTCATCTTTTCGGTTAAGCACTTTCTAAATGTGCGTATAATGTACTTTTGTCTTTCGGGAGTCTTCTGTGGGAAACACTAATGATCCATCTCAGATAAGGCACAATTTCTAGAAATGACCTGCTACCTGGAACAAACATCACCTCCTGATCATTACTTCCGATCCCAATGGACACACTCTTCACAATCTTCAGGACTTGGCTCAGGTGTCCTCTTCTCTGAGAAACTCCCATATGCTCTCCGCGTCCCCGCTGCAGTGCTCTCAGAAGGGGCCTAGTCTGGCGGCCCCTCCTGCATGTGCTTTTGCTTCTTCCCCACCACCCGTGTTATAACGGCTGGCTCCATCACCTCTACCCCTCTCTATGCTGGTAGAATGCTGAGACCACTCCTCTCTGAATCTGCAGCAACAAGGGGAGGACTCAGTAAACCACAGGAATCAGCAAATCCTTTCGGAATAATGCCTTCTGAATCAAGGAACTCGGACAGACTTGGAGCTATAAAGTAAGTATCCATGGACTACTAAAAGCTGTTTTCTACCTCGTGTATTCATACATCCCCAGCATCTCTGAGCTCAGTCGAAGGAGTATTACTGACAGAAGTACTTGAAGGTGCTCACAAGACAGGTAATGGTGTGAAAAAATGGACTAGCAAAGGTACCTCAGCTCACTGTTCCTGACTCCTTCCCTCCACAGATGGCAATGGAAAAATAATGAAAAATATTTTCTATACACACATGAGCTCCATAGACACAAAGTACTGGAGGACACTGAATTCTAAATTACATGACTGTCACATTGCTACCATGATTGAAGTGGAACATAGAAAATAAAAGAAGACCATCTGAATAAAGAGCATCAAGGTATACACAATGAAAGGACAGGATGATATTACTCACACTTAGCTTATCCTCGGGGCGGGGGGCGGGGTGCATATTTTTGGCCTTTACATAGCACCTACTCTGTCTTTTCCAACAATCCACATAGGACTTCAGTGGAGAGGCTCAGCTAATTCAGACAACATTTG